GCTACCTGATAATTATCATCGCCAAGATGATATTTTAAAGATTGGACTAAAACTTCAGACTATAAGAAAGCTCTTCCTCAAACATTTCTTCCCCTAGCAGAAAGGAAGATGGTGAAATGTTTTGATATTCGACTGGAAAAAAGGACTTTTTTAGCAAGCAGAGAAAACGTTTTTACACACAAATATATTTGAGAAAATTTATTTTTTGGACCGGTTGATGATCAACACTGAGTAGATTAAAAAGAAGCTTTTTCTCACTTTATCATTAAGATTTTCAGACAAAACTGATCACGTATTCCTAATTAGTGAATATAGATTTCAAAGATACCTGATAAAACCACTGTGCTCGATGCTGTTTCAAGTAGGTTTATACCAAGCACGAAACGCCTGATAAAAATATACAGTTCACTATCAAATTTTATAGGCATATTATCAGAGACGTGACATATGGTCATTGTACTTTTTGATCGGGTTACCTATGATAGATAGGAATAATAATTAGGCCGATTTTTGAAACCGATCAGTTTTGTTAGCGATAGGTCTATCAATCTGATCAAAAGCGAACAAAAAAAAGGAAAAAAAACGAAAACGCCAGTACTGATGATGAGGATCGAACTCAGTATATTAGGTGTCTGAACAACTTATATTTACTAAACCTACGTCTAAATCATTAGACTAGTATGACTTCGTTCTTTTACCTTTAAAATTTGTTTTAAATATTTTTTAAGTAATATATTAAAGTTATGTTTTCTGTCTGAAAAAGCATTTTCGAGAGTTGCAACTGGAACATAAAATGTAGCAAATTTAATTTTCTAAATTTTTTATGCGGGAATCAGATTTTTTGAAATCGTTCTTCATGATTAAAAACAGTAAATATTGTTTTTCTTCGTGAAGATCGATTTGTACAAAGTTGAGCCGTGCACCATTACACATTTAGGTAACACGTCAAAAGCTGCGAATGTTGTTAAATCGAAAATTGATATTAGTAAAATAAAAGTTTGGAATTATGATGATATAACTTTGCCGAAATTTGATGAAAACAATGCAGTAATTGCAAAATGGACCATATTTAAAGTAAGTGAAAGTTAGATTCTAACACCTAAGCAAACAAAATGGAGCTAGAATCGGGCGGTTGGAGCTATGAACACGGTTTTCGACCAGGTCAGATAGTTCCACTTCGAAAAGTTAAAACCTAGGATTGGGCGATTGGCGAGGTTAACCGCCTACTTAACCCACCAGTCGAGCTAGCGCTAACCGGGCAGACAACCTGCCGGTCACGCTACATTTTATTTTAAATGTATTTTTAAATCAAATATTAAATTGGCCGAGAGTTGTGTGTCTGGAACATAAAATTTAATTTTCTAAATTTTATCTATAACGTTTTTTGAGTTTATGGGCAAGGTTAAAAATAGAAATTTAAGAACCATTGCGGCTATTAATAGGTCCAAATATTGAACTGTTATTTTAACTCTTAGTTTTAGTCTTTT